TTCTAATAGAGTGTGAATCCGACTTTAACACCTCAATTCGCCCAGTTAAGAAACCAAGTGGAACTTACAGACTAGTTCAGGATTTAAGGGGAATAAATGAGATAACTAAAACCTTATACCCCATGGTAGCAAATCCCTAAACACTTTTAACAAAATTGAGAGATAATTTGATTGGATTCACAGTGTGAGATTTAAAAGATGCCTTTTTCTGGCTACCCCTAGCTCAGGAAAGTCAAAAGATTTTTGCTTTGGTGTGGGAATCTGTCCATAGTGGGAGAAAGATGCAATTACGTTGGACAAAGAAATTTAAAAATAGTCCCACTTTGTTCAGTGACCAGCCAGTCCAAGAGCTGGAACAATGGCAGCAGCCACCGGTGGATGGCGTTCTTCTACAATATGGAGATGACTTGTTAATAGCGACCGGAACAGAAGAAGTGAGTGTGCAGTGGACAATCTCTCTGTTAAACTTCTTGGGTTTAAATGGTTCCCAAGTTTCCCGACAGGAAGCACGGCTGGTGCAAGAGAAAGTGGTGTACCTGGGGTATGAAGTCTCCGGTGGACAATGTTCCCTGGGAACAGCAAGAAAGGAAGCATCTGCCAGACACCCAGCCCAGAAACAGGGAGAGATCTCCAAGCCTTTCTAGGAATGACAGGTTGGTGTCATTTATGGCTCTATCAGTAGGGAGTACTTGTAAAGCCTTTCTATGACCTGCTGAAAAGAACGCAAAAGAACATCATGTGGAGCCCTGAGACAGACGAGGCCTTCAAAGGTCTGAAGCGGGAGCTCAGGAGGGCTCTGGCGTTGGCTTTGCCTGACGGGACGAAGCCCCTTTGGTTGTTGTGCCATGAACGTCAAGGAATGGCTTTGGGGGTCTTGGGCCACCAAGCAGGGCCATCCAGGAGGGCCGAGCTCGACTGCAAACAGTGGGATGGAGTCAGCAAGGGATGGCCCAGCTGTCTGACAGCAGTGGCTGCAGCAGTCATGGACCACTGTCCCAGTGATGTCACTGATGTCCCCAGTGATGTCACCACTGTCCCAGTGATGTCACTGATGACCCCAGTGATGTCACCACTGTGCCTGTGATGTCACTGCTGTCCCTGTGATGTCAGCAATGTCCCTGTGATTTCACCAGAAACCTGTGATGTCACTGGTCTACAGTGATGTCACTGCTGTCCCCAGGGGTGGTCCCTGTGTCCCCACTGATTTTATGGCTGTCCCATGTGATGTTACCACTCTCCCCAGCGATGTCACTGTTCCCCAGTGATGGCACTGAAGTCCCTGTGATGTCACCACTGACCCCAGCAGTAGTACCATGTTCCTGTGATGTCACCAGACCCCTGTGATGTCACCGCTGTCCCTTAGATGGCACTGCTATCCCCAGGAGTGGTACCCCTGTCCCTGTGATGTCACTGCTGTCCCCAGTGATGCCACCAGACCCCTGTGATGTCACCAATGTCTCCAATGATGTCCCCGAAGTCCCTGTGACATAACTGCTGTCCCTGTGATGTCACTGGTGCTTATTGATGTCACTGCTGTCCCCACAGGTGTTACCACTGTCCCCTGTGATGTCACTGCTGTCTCCAGGGTGTCACCCATGTCCTGTGGGGGGCACCTATGTCCCTGAGATGTCACTGGTCCCCAATGATGTCACCACTGTCCCAGGGGAACGTCACTGCTGTTCCCAGTGATGTCACCGCTGTCCCTTTGATGGCACCGCTATCCTCAGGGGTGGAAACCCTGTCACTGTGATTTCACTGCTGTCCCCAGTGATGTCACCAGACCCCTGTGATGCCACCAATGTCTCCAATGATCTCACCAAAGTCCCTGTGACATAACTGCTGTCCCTGTGATGTCACTAATATTTATTGATGTCACTGCTGTCCCCACGGGTGATACCACTGTCCCCTGTGATGTCACCGCTGTCCCCAGGGTGTCACCCATGTCCTGTGGTAGACACCTATGTCTCTGGGATGTCACTGGTCCTCAGTGATGTCACCACTGTCCCCTGTGATTCCAGTGGTGTCCCAGAGGTGGTCCCCGTGTCCCCAATGATGTCACTGCTGTCCCCACTGATGTCACTGATGTCCCTTTGACATCACAACTGTCCCTTTGTTGTCATCAGTCCCCTGTGACGTCACTGGCCCTCACTGATGTCACTGCTGTCCCTGTGATGTCACCACTGTCCCCAGCAGTGCCAGCATGTTCCTGTGATGTCACTGGCATCTCCATGTTTTCACCAGACCTCTGTAAGGTCACTGATGTCCTTGTGACATCACGGCTCTCCGTTTGTTGCCACCAGTCCCCTTTAATGTCATTGAAGGAGGAAAGAAGAGTGGAAACGGCTCTCAAGTTATCATTTACCTCTGACAGGAAATATTGTCTTAGTAGAGCTTAGGGTTAGGGTTAGCTAATTCAGTTGCTGACTGAGGAACTTCTTTTGCAGTTTTTTGAGGGGCATTGTCATTTGAGAATCTGTGTATTCTGTTTTAATGAGGGGACGGAGCGACACCGACAGCTTTTCCCCTTGGTCCCACAAAGGCTTGAAATCAGAGAGGGGGATGTTTCTTTAGATGACTCCAGCTGTGACTCCTCTCTCCCTTCTCTCATCAATCTCGCCTACAGCTGCTCTCGGAGCGGCCCTTTCGTTCCTCCTCTGTGCCCGGAGGACACTGCAGCAGCCGCTCGTTCCTCCCGCGGATCTGCCCAGATTGCCCCGCGCAGTCCCGAGTTCCGCGCTGGTTCTTTCGCTGCCACAACTACAACTCCCGTGGTTCCCCGCGAGGGGCGGTGCTGTGGCGAGGGCGGGGCTGGAGGGGCGGTGCCCGCTCTCTGATTGGCTGCGGCGGGGAGGTTTAAAGACGGCGCGCGCGCCCAGCGCCATGTTGTGCAGCAGCGATCCAGGTAAGTGAGATGGAACTGGGGAGTTGTGGAAAGGCTGGAGGCCTCGGGAGGGTTTAGCGGGGGGTTCGGGGGCTCCCGAAGGGCGGAGCGCGGTGATTGAAACCCTCTCGGGGGCTGGGAGAAAGGGGGGGCTCTCCCGGCCATGTGGCTTAAATGCGCAGGCGCGCCGGCCATGAGGGAACTGCAACCCCCATGAGGCTTTGCGCAGCACCGCCATTCCTTCTGCAGCCACAGCGCCCCCTGCCGGCCGGGCGGACCGAGGGCAGGAAAGGGGGTACTGGTGCCCCCCCTTTCGAGCCCCAGAGACCCCCAAAACTCATCACACAGAGACGCCAATGAGAGGGGGGGTCAGAGGGTCCCCTAAAGTCCAGTAATGGGGTTCAGAGGGTCCCCCAGCTCCCAGGGAAGGGGTCTTATGGGTGCCCCCCGAAGTCTGGGGAGTCGATGTACCACATTCAGGTAATGGGGGCCCAGCGCCCCCAGTGTAGCCCAGTGACCTCCCACTGCCCCCAGTATGACCTGATAATCCTCCAGTGAGCACCCAGTAACCCCCAGTATGGCCCAGTAACCTCCCAGTGTCCCCCTGTGTGTCCTGGTAATCCCCCACTAATAACCCAGTCCCTCCCAGTGCCCTCCCAGCATCCCTCAATTACCCCCCAGTCTCTCCCAGTATAATATAATATAATAATAATATAATATAATATAATATATATAATGGCCAGTCTTCGTGAGCGAAGATCCGGAGAAGGTCTTTACACCTTCCAGCCTGCGCATTGGATTTTTTAGGTGAGACACAGTGTGCGCAGAACTGAGCCCACCCTTTAATCCTAAGGTTCATCTGCCGGGGCCAAGCGAGCTTGGACGGTGGCAGCGAGGTCCTTAGGACGTAGATGGGTTGCCTTTAAGGGCTAACGAGCCCCACCTGCCCGGGAGCGGCCCTGACCGGGAATCGAACCCGGGTCTCCGCGGTGATAGCGCCACGCCTTTACCACTAGACCACCAGGGGCTCCCAGTACCCCTTGGTTATCCCCAGTGTGTCCCAGTATCCGTCAGTAATCACCCAGTTTCCCCCAAAGGCTCCCAAGTGTCCCCAACGTGTCCCCAGATGCCCTTGACCTTTCTGAAACTGTGAGGGGATGGGGCCATTTTGGGGGCCACAGGGTCCAGGGGGGCCTTCTGGAGGAAGATGGAGGGTTGGGAACATCAGGGATGGGGTTTGGGGACAATGGGGAGGGGTTTGGGGACAGTGGAATGGGGGGTGTCAAGGGGAGAATTGGGGCCATGGGTAGTCCCCGGGGACATTGGAGACACCAGGAGGGTCTCAGGCTGCCAAGTGGGAAATTGAGGACAGCAGGAGGGTCTTGCGGACACCAGGGGGGTCTCAGGACTCACCTGCTCGTGGTGCTGCCCCTCCTGTCCCTCCCCGGCCCCAATAAGCCCCCCCAAATGTCCCCTAACCCCCATTTTTCCTTTAATCACCTCCCCCCCCATATCCCTTTGACCCCCCCATGCTCCCAAGACCTCTTTTAACTCCCCAAAATGCACCCAGAGGCCCCCAAAATGCCCCAAATCCCAATCAAACCCCTGGCAAAGAGGGATCACCTGGCACCCTGGGACAGGAACACAGTGGGCTGTACTGGGAGGGCACTGAGGGGGCACTGGGCTGTACTGGGAGAGCCCTCATCCCCAAAGCCCCTCCCCTGGGCATCCGTGCCACGGTCTGGGAACCACGGCGGGGTTGGATCAAGGGGTGCACTTGATGATCTGGGAGGTCTTTTCCAAGCCGGCTGATTCTGGGATTCTCTGGGTGCCATTGCCAGGGCAGCACATGCTGGAGGCTCTGTCCACAGGGGATAGATGTGTCTGTGCAGACAGAGAGACAAGGGCAGTCTGCAAAGATGTGGGGTTAGAAAAGCAGGAGAAGTTGTGGGGTGGTTGTGGCAGGAGAAAGAAGCCCCCAGGCCAGTGCAAGCAGGCCCCCCTGGGCTTGCACATCATCTGCCCTCCCTGCAGGTTCCTGTGCTGGAGAGCAGGCCCTGAGGTGGCCCTGAGCAATGGCCCGGAGGTGAGCCCAGAGCTGGCCCTGAGGTGGCCCTGAGAAGAAGTGGAAGGCAGAGGTGGTGCTGAGGCAGGAGAGCCCCGTGCTGGGGAAGAGGCTGAGCTGGGAGTGCCCAGCAGGGAGAAGGTGCTGTGTCCATGCCCTGTGTGCCAGGTGAGCTGGGGCTTTGCTGCAGAGCTGCGGGCGCTGATTGGAGCGGCTGCAGCTGCTGAGCTGGTGGCACCCAGGAACACAAAGTGTGCCCGGCCACGGAGCCTGCAGGGAGGAGCAGGGTCAGGGCCACTGTCAGCCCGGGGCTGGCTGGGCAGACACAGCAGTTTTGGGGTCCCCCTGGGAGCTGTCGAGGGTGGAGGGCGGAGCGGGCGATGCCGGAGCTGGGGGACCCCTGGCAGGCTGGAGGGGGGAGCACGGAGAGGGAGGAGCCCTGGGACCCCCGGGAGCCTGAAATGGGGGAGAGCGGAGACGGGGAAGCCCGGAGAGAGGGGACCCCTGGGATCCTCGGGACAACGAGGTGGAGAACCTGGAGAGGGGGAATGTGTGGGAAGGCGGCACCCCGAAGGTGAGAGTCAGAAGAGGAGGGACCCTTGGGACCCCCAACACTCCCAGCATTTCTAAGTGGGGCCCCCAACATCCCAGACAGGGGAGACCCTCTGAAACCCAGAGAGGGGGAACTTGTGGGAGAGATTTTTTGGACTAATCTTCATAATTTGGAGTATATTTCAGCAGAATCTCAACTTTTGCTGTTTGGGCGCGGGGTCTTCTTGCTATTTCTGAGGAGTTTTTTTGCCTGCATGTTGGTGGTTTCAGTTTTCCTAAGCTGAATCGTGATGTTTTGGAGGTCCCCCAGAACCCTGAATTTGGGAGATGGGGAGTCTTGGACTGCTGGGAGCTCCAGCAGCCTGGAGAGGGCAGAGACCTCGTAGATGGGAGACCCCAAATACACACAGGATTCCCAGCAGCCCGAACAGGGGGGACCTCCAGAATCCCAAAGTGGAGAGACCAGAGAGGAGGAACTCCTGGCTGGGGATTTTTGGGCTGAATATTAGTGTTTTGGAGGTTTTTATGGTCCCAGGATGCCTGGTGAGTTCTAGAGATTGACTTGGGCAGGAGGAACCCCAAGGCAAGGCACTCAGCCCTTGTTTCCCCCCCCACAGGATTTGTCCTTCCCAAAGCTTGGGCAGATGGAGGAGGAGGTTGCAAGGAAGAAGAAATATCCGCAGGCTCCCCAGGCAGGTGAGGAGGAAGTCAGTGCCCCTTTGGCCCTGTCTTGTGGTGCCTGTGGGGACCAAATTTGGGGGAGATGTCCTTGGCCTTCCTTCTGGGCCAGAGGCAAATCCCCTGCCTGTCCTTCTTCCTTCCTGCCCCAGGCCCCGAGCTGAGGACGGAGAGCACGGAGGACAAATCCCCCCAGCAGAGCCTGGTGGGAGAGGCCGTTTTGAAGGGCTCCCTGGCACAGGAAGGCAGCAGGGAGGAAAAGGCCCGGAGATGCCCCCGGAGGAGGGGCTGCAAAGCCAGCCCAGGGAGCTCTGAGGAGGAAAGACCCGTCCTGTGCCAGGAAGGCAGCCGGAGCTTGAACCGGAGCTCCGAGCAGGTGGTCCCTGAGCAGCCTCCCAGCAGGGAGAAGCCCTTCAGGTGCCTGGAATGTGGGAAGAGCTTCAGGAAGAGCTCCCACCTCCTCAGCCACCAGCACATCCACACTGGGGAACGGCCCTACACGTGTAGGGAATGTGCAAAGAGGTTTCAGACCAGATCGCATCTTCTCACACATGAGCAGACACACACAGGGAGAGGCCCTTCCGCTGCACCGACTGCGGGAAGGGCTTCAAATGCATCTCCCACCTCGTCACCCACCGGGCCATCCACACCGGAGAGAGGCCCTACAAGTGTGGGGAGTGTGGGAAGAGCTTCACCCAGAGCTCCAGCCTGATCCAACACCAGCTCATCCACACTGGGGAACGGCCCTACAAGTGCTTGCAATGTGGGAAGAGGTTTAGGGGCAGCACAGATCTCCTCAGGCATGAGCGGACACACACAGGGGAGAGGCCCTTCCGCTGCACCGACTGCGGGAAGGGCTTCAAACAGAACTCCACCCTCGTCACCCACCGGCGCATCCACACTGGGGAGAGGCCCTACAAGTGTGGGGAGTGTGGGAAGAGCTTCAGCCGCAGCTCTACATTGACCAGACACCAACGGACCCACCAGTAAGAGAAACCCTAGGAGTGCCCCGACTGCGGGAAGAGCTTCGGCTGCTGCTCCCACACGGAATGACCCCCTGATGGTGAGGCAACCCCTGGAGTCCAGTGACTGTCAGTCCATCCCTTTCCACCAGAAAGGGCCAGTCCCCTTTCTCAGGGTCAGGTTGTGCCAACAGAACCCTTCTTGGAGGGTGTGTGGAGATTCCTCCCCAAGGTCAGTGCTGGAGGTTGAGAGCAGAGATCTCCCCACGAGCGTTGGTCTGGGGGAGTTCCATCCATCTTTAATTCATAATTCTTGCTTTGGTGCCAGCTTGAGTAGAATTGCTTCAAAAATTGCTTTAGTGTAGAGCACTGTCCTATCTTATTCTCTATTAGTGGTAGTTTTAGTGTTTCTTTAGTGTTTCTTTTAATGTTTCTTTAGTGTTGCAGTTTCCATGGAGAAAAGGTGAGGGGAGGTGGGCAGAGATTCTCGGCTACAGTCACCAGTTCTTCTCCCTTTCCTCTCCCTGATTTTCCAGAATTTGCCATCAATTTTTATAGTGTTCACAGTAGCTTGAACATGGTTTTTTGGCACGTAGCCAGTTCAGATGTTGGAATAGATATGATAATCATTAGCAATGGCAGGATCTTTTGGCAGGAAAAGTGCCGTGGGAAGTCCTGGTGAGAACTTCTGGCAGAGAGCTGACAGAGAATGTTTGATAGGAAGTTTTTGACAGGCAGAAACAATTTTTGGCATTTTTATATTATCTGTGTGTTACAGATGGTTACCATGGTAAATAACTGGGAATGCATAATGGTTGCCATGGTAACCACAGTAACAATGAGACTTCATAATGGTTGCTGTGGTAACCAATCGTAACAATGAGATTGCATAATGGTTGCCATGGTAACCGAGGTAACAATGAGAATGCAAAAGATATACCATGGTAACGAAACTCACAATGAGAATATATAGTGGTTGCCATGGTAACCAAGGTCACAATGAGAATGCACAGTTGTTGCCATTGTAAGTGACATCACAATGAGAAGGGACAATGGTTGCCATGGTAACCAACGTCACAATGAGAATGCTTAATTGTTGCCATGGTAACCAATGTAACAGACTGCATAATGGTTGCCATGGTAACCGGAGTCACAGTGAGAATACACAATGGTAACAGAGATCACAGTGAGAATGCACAATGGTTGCCATGGTAACCGATGTAATAATGGGAACGCACGATCGTTGTCATGCTAAGCAACGTAACAATGTGAATGCACAATGGTTCAAATGGTAACCAAGGTAAAAGTGGGAATACATAATGGTTTCCATGGCACCTGACGTCACAATGAGAATGCACAATGGTTGCAATGGTAGCTAAGGTCACAATGAGAATGCACAATGGTTACTATGGTAAGTGAGGTCACAGTGAGAATGCACAATGGTTCCATGGTAACCGTGGTAACAATGAGAATGTATAATGGTTACCATGGTGTGAGGGGGGGAATTTTGATTCAGATGATCAGTGGAGCATAGAGGGGTGAGAAAGTGATTATATTCGCATGTGAAACCAGCCAGAATATTGTACAATGTGACTTTGTTGCACAAGTTCACTGTAGGGCCCACTGTGTCTATAGCAATTTTAATTGGATATCCCCCATTATCAGAGCTGAGTTCCTCCTTGGCTTGGCTCCACTCTACAAGAGAGATACAAATCCCCTTGGAACACAATGGTACAGGTCGTCCATAGGGCTGAGGAAGGTGATGGAGAGGAAGATGATGTGGGCAGGGGTCGTTGGCCCCTTGCCCTACAGTGGGGCACGCCCAGACTGTTGCCATGTGGCGCTGTTTGGCTGCCACTCAAGCACCACCTTCTGCTGCGTCCTGGCCCTACGTAGTGTAATGTAGAGCTGATGGAATGGGGTGTCAGCACTGCTGGGTGGAGCGATGCTCATCCTTCCATCCACACTGTGCTGCTCCGCAGGGACACCCGCCAAACACGGGCACCACCAGCCCCTGCAGACCCTGGTAGGCCTGATGTGTCTGTGCAGGTGAGCAGAGTTTATTGATAGGAAGTAACCAAGAAAGCAAACATTTTATTTCCTTTTTTTTTATCCCTTTAAATCCCCTTTTACTAGCTAATGCTGTAATAAAAGCTGTTCGTAGTATTGTATGCATGGCAACTGATAAAGTAGTGGTTTTGGTTTTTTCAACTTTTGATTCTCTTTGCTAATAGTTTTTATAAATTTTACTCTCACTGTAATAAAAGATTTTTTTGTAGTGTTTGAATGACTGCTGTACTTGTCTTTATTCTGGGCATGGATTCAAACGAACTAGTATAGAAGGGACTGGCAGGAGGTTTCAGGGGGTTCTGGGTGGGCTGGGAGAGACTAGAACAGGGTTTGTGGGGTCTTGGGTGATCTATGGGAGGTTTTGGGGGTCCTGACCCACCCGGCTCCCCCCAGAGATGCCACAGGACACCGTCCGCAGCAAGGTCCTGGTGGGGGTCGGGGGCTTCGTGTTGGGTTTGGTCTTCCTGGCGCTGGGGCTCAGCTTCTACCTGCGGGAGAAGGTAAAGGGGGTCCCCGGGGGTCGTGTCCCTCCTTCCCCAGAGCATGTGGGCCCCCCCAGCCCACTGTCACTCTCTTTTCTCTCCCAGCAGAGCTCCTGAACTGGCGGG